CTGACAAATTCCAAATATCTATCTACAGCCCTGGCCTTTCCCCTGAACTCCAAACTGGTATAACCAATTGCCGTTTAATATTTCCAGTAATAGACATCTCAAATTTCACATGTCCAAAACTGAACTTTTGATTTCCCCTCCCAATGCTGCACCATCCATAGTCTTCCCTAACTCAATTAAAAATTACACACATTTTATGTAAATAGTTTGACTCTCTTACATACCCTTCTCATCCATCAGGAAGTCTTGTTGCCTCTACTTTCAAAATATATCCAGAGTCAGACCACCTTTCTGGCTTGAGCCACCATCAACTTTCACCTGGATTATTGCAATAGACTCCTAACATGTTTCCCTGTTTTCACCTTGCCCCTAAAGTCCTTTTTCAGCATAGCAACCAAGGTAATCCTTTGAAACAGAAGTCAGATTGTGTCTTTCCTTTGCTTAAAACTATATAATTGCTCTCAAAGAGATAATAAAAATATCAGGCTGGGCGCAGTGGCTCACACTGATAATCCCAGCACTTTGGGAGCCCAAGGTGGGGGGATCACCTGAGGTCGGGAGTTCAAGACCAGTCTGACCAACATGGAGAAACCCCATCTCTACTAACAATACAAAATTAGTCGGGCATGGTGGTGGATGCCTGTAATCCCAGCTACTCAGGAGGCTGAGGCAGGAGAATTGCTTGAACCCAGGAGGCGGAGGTTGCAGTGAGCCGAGATCACACCATTGCACTCCAGCCTGGGCAATAAGAGTGACACTACGTCTCAAAACAAAACAAACAAACAAACACCATCTAATGGCTCTCAAACCTCTCAGAATTAAAGCTAAAATCCTTATGATAGCCAGCATGGTCCAATTCTCCCATGTATTGGTCCATTCTCACATTTCTGTGAAGCAAACCTGAGACAGGAGAACTTATAAAGGAAAAAGGTTTAATTGACTCACAGTTCCACATGGCTTGGGAGGACTCAGGAAACTTAAAATCATGGCAGAAGGCAAAAGAGAAGCAGACACCTCCCCAACGGGGGGGCAGGAAGGCGTGAGTGCCGAGTGAAGGGCAAAAACCCCTTATAAAACCATCAGATCTCGTGAGCATTCATTCACCATCACGAGAACAGCATGGCAGAAACCACTCCCATGATTCAACTATCTCCACCTGTTCTGTCCTCGACATGTGGGAATTATGGGAATTACAATTCAAGATGAGATTTGCGTGGGGACACAGCCAAACCATATCATCCCATTACCCATCTGGCCTCATCTACTACTATCTCTCCCACTTGCATCCTCTGTTTCAGGCCCATTAGCCCCCTCCTTGCTTCTTTTACCTGATAGGCATGCACCTGCCTCAGGGTGCATGCTTTTATGTCTGACATACTGACTTTTTGCACCAGCTTTTATGTCTGACATACTCTCTCTCCCCAATATCTTCATAGCTATCTCTCCTCCTTCAAATCTTAGCTCAACTATCATCTTTCAAAATAAAGCCTAACCTGACTTTCTAATTTAAAATTGGAACCACTCCTAATGCCAGGCACAGTGGCTCATGCCTGTAATCCCAGCACTTTAGGAGGCTGAGGTGAGTGGATCACTTGAGGCCAGGTTCAAGACCAGCCTGGCCAACATGGTGAAACCCCATCTCTACTAACATACAAAAATTAGTTGGCCGTGGTGGTGCACACCTGTAATCCCAGCTACTCAGCAGGCTGAGGCAGGAGAATCGATTGAACCTGGGAGGCAAAGTTTGCAGTGAGCGGAGATCACACCACTGCATTCCAGCATGGGCAACAGAGTGAGACTCTGTCTCAAAAATAAATAAGTAAATAAAATGAAATAATAAATAAAATTTAAAAACAAAATTGGAATCACTCCTAATCCCTCTTAGTCTCCTCTATGCTTTTTGTTTTTGAGACAGGGTCTTACTCTGTCACCCAGGCTGGAGTGCAGTGGTGTCCTTGAGCTACCCATCCTCAGATGATCCTCCTACCTTAGTCTTCTGAGTAGCTGAGACTACAGGTGCACGCCACCATGCCCAACTGATTTTTGTATCTTTTGTAGAGACAAGGTTTCGCAATGTAGCCCAGGCTCTTCCATCCTTTTTTCATAGCACTTCTCACCTTCTAATGTACTATCTAATTTACATATTTATTATTTCTATTGTTCATGGTCTTTCTCTTCTCACTACCAATGTGAAGTCCGCAAGAGCAGAGATTTTTGTCTGTTTGGTTCACTGATGAATCTTTAGCACCTATTACAGAACGGTGTCTAGTACCTATTAAGCACTAATAAATACAGACAAACATTGAAGTGTTGTTCATCCTCATCTATAAAGCCCCTTCTGGCTTATGTCTTAGTGATAACATAATCAGACTTCATTGAATGTTATCAGCCATAAGATACATTGTACCAATGGGGGCTTCTATTTTGATTAACATTCTTAGCCTTATTACTTTTAGGCTTGAACTAATTTATTTCAAGCTTTGGTTGTCTGGGTCCAAGCTAATTAGTTTGTCTGAGAAGTATTTGCTAGAAATAGAAGTTTAGCAGCTAAGTTTGCTAACAAGTTTTCATTCAGGAGCTCATGTATTACTACTAATCATTTGTTACTAGAACAAATAAGGCTGTTTGAGTTGTACTTTCAAAGGTGCCTACGCGATTCAAGTCCAAATATACTGAAATTGAATACACAAATATATTTGGCAACTCTACAACAGCGCAACTCCCTGATTCACTACTCCCTAGAATTTCTGCACAGGAATATGTTCAATTTACATTCCTGCTTAGAGTCAGAACATTCCTAATTCAACAGCTGCAAGAAAGTTATAATGAAAAATTAACTCCATAAATTATTGATTCTTGGATTGAAAATGTATACCTCAACTTGAAAGCGTAGAATCAATAAAAAATATATATTTCATAAACCTTGCAATGCCATATTTCCACATTAGTTGCAAAATGACAAGCTGTTAGGAGACCGTGCAAAGAATAGCTTAGTTTTCTGTGTGAGATGCCTCAGTTTCACAAGCAGCAGCAAGCTCTCTAATCTTCCTAGTCTGAATGCATGTATCTATGATAATGAATGAACTTCAGTATTTTTCCCTTTTAGTCAATAGCAAACATTAACAAGAATTTTCTTTTGAGACTCCACTACCTCTTTTTTCGTTTTCTGTTTCATCTTTGATGTTTTTGACCTTGACATTGTAACCTGCCAAACACAAACACACACACACACACACACACACACACACAGAGAGAGAGAGAGAGAGAGAATAAGGGAATTTTAGAGGAAATCTGATGAAAGAGAAGTAGCTGTTTTCAAGGCTAGCCCTTCACCAGTTTTCTTTGATATGGGAAATGGACACAATACTATATATATCCTTAGATCCTATGTATATAAATTCTTATTTTCAAATGGTTGGATTTAAACAATTTATTATTTTGAAAACAACAGGCTTAGTTCAATTAAACCATAAGTTATTTTTAAAATAGCTGGTTTGGCCAAGCGTGGTGCCTCGTGCCTATAATCCCAGCATTTTGGGAGGCCGAGGTGAGCAGATCACTTGAGGTCAGGAGTTCAAGACAAGCCTGGACAACATGGTGAAACACTGTCTCTACTAAAAATACAAAAATTAGCCCGGTGTGGTGGTGCACACCTGTAATCCCAGATATTTGGGTGGCTGAGGCAGGAGAATTTCTTGAACCCAGGAGGCAGAAGTTGCAGTGAGTCAAGATTGTGCCGCTGCACTCCGGCCTTGATGACAGAGCAAGACTCTGTCATAATAATAATAATAATAATAATAATAATAGGCTGGGTGTGGTGGTTCACGCATGTAATCCCAGCACTTGGGGAGGCGGAAGCGGGTGGATTACCTGAGGTCAGGAGTTCCTGACCAGACTGGCCAACATAGTGAAACTCTGTCTCTACTAAAAATATAAAAAATTAGCTGGGTGTAGGCCGGGCACGGTGGCTCACGCCTGTAATCCCAGCACTTTGGGAGGCCGAGACGGGCGGATCACAAGGTCAGGAAATCGAGACCATCCTGGCTAACACAGTGAAACCCTGTCTCTACTAAAAATACAAAAAATTAGCCGGGCGTGGTGGCGGGCGCCTGTAGTCCCAGCTACTCAGGAGGCTGAGGCAGGAGAATGGCGTGAACCCGGGAAGCGGAGCTTGCAGTGAGCCGAGATCGCGCCACTGCACTACAGCCTGGGCGACAGAGCGAGACTCTGTCTCAAAAAAAAAAAAAAAAAAAAATTAGCTGGGGGGTGGTGGCGCATGCCTGTAATCCTAGTTACTTGGGAGGCTGAGGCACGAGAATTACTTGAACCCGGGAGGTGGAGGTTGCAGTGAGCCGAGATCACCTCACTGCACTCCAGCCTGGGTGACAGCGAGACTCCGTCTCCAAAAAAAAAAAAAAAAAAAAAACTGGTTTTTTGGCTTCAAAATCTTTTACTATTTTCAAATAGGTTCAAATATGTATGTATATGGCTCAGATAATCAAAGCAAAACATGTTTAGTTTTCTAGATTGCACTTTCCCACGTCACTGGTTCCACTCACCCTCTTTGAGTAATCCCCCCTCCCCCCGTTCTTAGCTGACTCTCATGATAATGCCTTGTGCTTCAGCTGCTGTTGGTGTAATGTGACTACTGGGCATAGCTATGATTCAGTGGTGAATTCCTGAAAGTTTAGACATTTTGACAGCTTCTTGGTTTTAGCAAGAGGAACTGCCAACAGTCCTCCATCATACTGTAAAAACAACTAAGATGAAAACTCAATGCACCAAAAAACAACTAAATCTAAGAATAAAAATTCCTAAATTTAAAGCTTATTGAGCTACATAAAGAAAGGCCTACCTAGGCTTCTCTTCAAAGCTAGTCAGGTTTTATCATATGAATCAGACACTGTCTGAAAAAGGATAGAGGTACATAATTACCTATTTGCCACCTGCCTCAGATCGGGGGTCTACACCAGCTAGGAACTTCGTCGTTATCACTTTACCTGGTAGGCACTGCGGTTTTGAGACAGCCAGAGATGGATGAATCACCTCTTCTTCTCTTCCTCCCTCTACCTCCATGAAACCTCTCCTGTTGTTCTACATCCATAGAGAGAAGAGCTCAGAGGAAACAGCTGAGCAGGAAGTAAGGAGCAGATGACATGTTGAGAAATGTAGTGCCCCAATATACAGCACCACAGTTAGGGGCAGAGAGAGGATGAACCTAACAACAGTGCAAGATGGGAACTGTAGTTTTTTGTGTGTTCTTTCATTTTAGAGTTACAAATGATCAGACAATGGGGTGGGAAAAGCCAGTAGAGGGAAACCACAATAGGTGAATGCCTAGTAGACGTGGAAATTGAAATGAGAACTGGCATAGATACAAGTGGATAAGTAGCAGGACCAAGAGAGATATACACATTTTATCTGTTGATAAACACTAAGTTTGAAGACTCTTATTTATGTAAAGATAAGTAAAAGAACAACAATGACAAAAAAGCCAACATAGAGCCTGTGAAAAAAATACCTCAGAACAAGGGAAAGGAAATAACCACATAAAGAACCAAAGAAAAAGCATAAAAATGATCTACTGCAAGACCAAAAAAAAAAAAAGAAAAATCCTCAAGAGACTACTTGCATCTGCAATAGAGCTCAAAAAGCTATACATGTTCTACAAACATGCATCTATAAAGTGGAAGAAGAAAGAGGTTGAAATGGAAAGCCAATACAATGTTATGAACGAAATAAGGAAGGACTGAAATAATACAAGAACACAACTATAGAATTAAAATCTATATTGGCAATAAAGACTTGATTCTAGGAGAATATTGAATCAGTAATGAGGACTATTTGAGCACTCCAGAATGGTGAGAGAAAGATCAGAGGTATGTGGTCGAGATAAAGGTAAAAAAAGAGAAAAAAGGTAATTGGTGTTCATGAAGAAGAGACCAAAACAAATGGAAAAAAATCAAATATGTGATGAGAAGAACAGTTTCTTGATGAGCAAAAAAAAAAAAAAAAAATTGGCCCATAGATGGAAGTAGAAAGGAATAACCATTTTTCCTGCAAAACAAATGATGAAGACCTACATCTAGATGTGGCCTGACAATGTTTTTAAATTACAAGGCTATGGAAGATGACTTACAAACATCCAAGAAGGAAATAAAATGTTACCTAGAAAGAACAAAAACATCATGTCAGTCTTGGACCTCTTTGCTGCCACATTAAATTACAGGAGATAATTATTCAAAGCTATTTTTTCAGTAACTAGGAGAAAGAAAGAACTGGCAGTGAGCACTAAAACAAGTTAATCAAAGACATAAATCTAAAGTATAAATATGGCTACAAAGCCAAGTTCAAGTATACTGCATTTATTTATGCATCTTTTCATATCCTGTTGATCCCTCATCCCCCTGGTCTAAGCACTTGCTCTGCTTCCCAGCCTAAGTAGCCCTATCAAAGGCTCATGCCATTACTGCAATAATAATTCCTGCCTCAATTGCTATTTTACCTCCTGACACCACCAGCAGGCTCAGCCTTTCCAGGTGGGTGTTAAAGCATGAGCCTTTGGCATGGCCTCCATTATACATGCTACAGTGGGAAATACCATGGTCCAGTGGGATCCATGGAGGCCCTAGATTCTCCAGCAGCTGCCATAAAGTGGCCCATGCCACACTCTGGAAATGTGGGAAAGTTAACTTCTGTGGGACAAAATTTTGAATAATGACAAAATGGACATAAGGAAGAGTGAACAGATAAATTTTTTACCGTTCCCCTTTCTGAGAGACTGTTCCGAGATTCAAAGGTTCCATTGGCATCTCCAGAGATATCCTGTGTGGCCAAGCAACCAGCTATTTATAGTGGAGCTGAGGGCAACGAACCTTGTATTTGCTTCCCTCCTTCTCCATTTTATGTTACTTTCCCCTCATTGTTGCTTCCCTGGGTGTGAACCCTCCAATAAAGCATTACTTCCACAAACTTGGCCGTGGGCTCTGTTTTCTGGGGAACCAGGCTAAAACAAAAGTCAAAATGACTCACAAAAGAGAACACACATACAAACAAAAAAGGAAACACAACATACCAAAATTTATAGGACATCAGCAAAAGCAGTTGTACAACGGAAGTTTATAGCAATAAACACATAAAAAACAGTAAGATCTCAAATAAACAACCTAACATTAACATCTCAAGGAAGAGCAAACTAAACCCAAAGTTAGTAGAAGGAAGGAAATAATAAAGATCAGAGCAGAAATAAATGTAATACAAACCAATAAAACAACTGGAAACAGCAATGAGGCCAAGTTTGGTAGCTCATGCATGTAATCCCAGCATTTTGGGAGGCCGAGGCAGCTGGATCACTTGAGGTCAGGAGCTCGAGACCAGCCTGGCCAATATGGTGAAATCCCGTCTCTACTAAAAATACAAAAATTAGCCAGGTATGGTGGTGGGTGCCTGTAATCCTAGTTACTTGGGAGGCTGAGGCACAAGAATTACTTGAACCCAGGCAGAGGCAGAGGTTGCAGTGAGCCCAGATTGCACTACTGCACTCCACTCTGGGTGACTGAGTGAGACTCTGCCCCCAAAAAAAGAAAGAAAAAAAAGAAAAGAGCAATGAAATTAAGAGTTGGTTTTTTGAAAATATAAACAAAATTGACAAGCCTTTAGCTAGACTTAAAAAAAAAAGGACAGAAGACTCAAATTAATAAAGTCAGAAGTGGGCCAGGTGTAGTGGCTCACTCATGTAATTCCAGCATTTTGGGAGTCCAAGGCAGGAGAATTACTTCATACCAGGAGTTTGAGACTAGCCTGGACAATATAGTAAGATCCTGTCTCTACAAAAAATAAATAAATGAATAAAATTAACCCAGCATAGTGGCATGCATCTATATTCCCAGATACTGGGGAGGCTGAGGCAGGAGGATCACTTGAACCCAAGGGTTCAAGGCTGCAGTGAGCTATGATCATGTCACTGCACTCCAACCTAAGTGACAGGGTGAGATCCTATCTCAGAAAAGAAAGGAATCAGAAGTGAAAGAGAAAGCATTACAATTGATACTACAGAAATATAAAACATCATAAAAGACTACTATGAACAACTATACACCAATACATTGGATAACCTTGAAGAAATGGATGAATTTCTAGACACATACAACCTACCAAAGCTAAATCATGAAGAAATAGAAAATTTGAACAGACCAATGATGAACAGGAAGATTAGATTGGTAATAAAAAGTCTCTCATCAAAGGAACTGATGGCTTCACTACTGAATTATAGCAAACAAAGAATTAATACCAATCCTCAAATTCATCCAAAAAACTGAAGAGGAGGGAATACCTCTAAACTCATTTTATGAGGCCAGCATTACTTTGACACCAAAGCCAGACAAGGACACTACAAAGAAAGACAATTATAGGCCAATGTCCCTGATGAATATAGATGCAAAAGTCCTCAACAAAATATTAGTAAACTGAATTCAACAGTATCATTTACCATGACCAAATGAGATTCATCTCTGGGATGCAAGGATAATTCAACATACACAAATCAGGAAATGTAATACACCACATTAAAAGAATGAAGAACAAAAGCCTTATGATCATCTTTAAAGATCCAGTAAAAGCATTTGACAAAATTCAACATCCTTTCCCAATTAAAAAAAAAAAACTCAACAAACTTAAAATAGAAGTAAATTACTTCAACATAATAAAGGCTGTATATCAGAAACCCACAGCTAGCATTATACTAAATGGTGGAAAACTGAAAGCTTTTCCTTTAATTTAAGATCAGGAACAAGACAAGAATCCCCACTCTCACCACTTCTATTCAAAATAGGACTGAAAGCTCTAGCCAGAGCAAGTAGCCAAGAAAAAGAAATAAAAGCTATCCAAATGTCTTTTTGTCTCTATTTATAGATGACCTGACCTTATTATATAGAAAACCCAAAAAATGCTACCAAAAAACTGTTAGAACTAATAAATGAATTCAGTAAAGTTATAGTAACAAAAATAACATAAAAAATCAGTAGCATTTCTATACACTAACAACAGAATGTCCAAAAAGAAGTCAAGAACATAATCTCATTTACAATAGTATCAACAATACTTAAGAATAAATTTAACCAATGAGGTAAAAGATATGTACACTGACAACTATAAAATATTGGTGAAATAAAGACATATGTAAACAGAAAGACATTCTGTGTTTATAAACTGGAATAATTAATATTGTTAAAATGTCCATACCACTCAAAGCAATCAACAGATTCAATATAATCCCTATCAAAATTCCAATGATATTTTTCACAGAAATAGAAACAAAATTCTAAAATTTGTGTGGAACCTCAAAAGACCCTGAATAGCCAACACAATCTTGAGCAAAAGGAACAGGCTAGAAGCATCATGCTACCTGATCTCAAAAATATACTACAAAGCTATGGTAACCAAAACAGCATGGTATCAACAAAAAAATGACATAAAGACCAGTGGAACAAAATGGCACAGAATAAATACATTTATGGTCAACTGATCTTTGACAAAGGTGCCAAGAACACACAATGGAGAAAAGGCAGTCTCTTCAATAAATGGTACCAGGAAAATGATATCCACATGCAGAGGAATGAAATTAGACCCTTATCTCAAGTACAAAAATCAAGTCAAAATGGATTAAGGACTATAACATGAGACTGAAACTGTAAAACTCCTAGAAGAAAATATAGGGAAAAAGCTTCTTGACATTGATCTGGGTGATGATTTTATGGCCTTAGTCCCACAAACACAGGCAACAAAAGCATAAATAGACAAATGGGATTTTATCAAAGTAAAAAGCTTCTGCACAGCAAGAGAAACAGTCAACACAGCAATATGGAATTGGGGAAAATATTTGTAAACCATACGTCAGATAAGGGGTTAATAGTCAAGATCTATAAGGAGCATAACTCAATAGCAAGAAAACAAATAATTTGATTGAAAAATGGCAAAGATCCTGAAGAGACATTTCTGAAAAGAAGACATACAAATGGTTAACAGGTATATGAAAAGGTGCTCAACATCACTAATTACCAGTGGAATGCTAATCAAAACCACAATGAGCTGTCACCTTATACCTGTTAGAATGTCTTTTAAAAATTTGTTTAATCATATATATG